GCCGCACTCTACTCCAAGCAACCCAGAAGACCATTGGCCTCCTTGTCCACTGCCCATGAGGGCTCATGGCTGGCTCATGATTAAGAGCCCTCACAGACTGGTCCAAACCCCCAATTTCTTCTCTGCTCCCTCTGCAGCATCCAGCTCGGGTTCCTGCCACAGGAGAACCACACCAAAGCCTTGGAGCCCAACCCTGCAGCCCCTGCCCCGTGCACCCCCCTGGGCCATTCGGAGTCGGCCTGCCCTGGGCAGAGCCAGCAGCCCCGAATGCCACACATACCTCAGCCAGGAAAGGACCCACTTGCCAGGAGCAGGGCCAGGGGGAAGGAGCTGGAGGCCTTTTGCTTCCCTTATCTCTGGCATTTCACTTTCCCACCTCCAGTTCCCAAGGGAAGGTCTCCCCCACCCCCAGCTCCAGCAGGTCCTGCCATGGCAGGTGGCCAGGCAGGTATAGCAAACATAGAAAGGTGTGGAGGGCCCTAATTTCAGCTCCAAAACCTGCGTTCTCATCAGACCTCCCCTGGTTTGGTGTCTCCCAACCTCCTTTTCTCTCCTAACCACCCCTACTTCCAGAGCAAAGTCTTCCTCCTGCAGCTCCATCAAAGCTTGCTAAGTCCCCCTCGGTCCTGGGCAGCCTCAGGGGCCTGGGTTAAGGGGGTGTTAGGGGGCAGCTGCTCAGCAGAGAGCAAGCAAGGGGCTCTCACCATCAGGAGTGGCCACAGCCCCGTCCACAGCTGTAGCCAGGCTGGTGAGTGTGGGACAGGGACAGAGACGGCCCCACCCCAACGGAATCCAGGTTGCTGTGACACTGCTGAGTGGGTCACAAAAGCCCCAGGGCCCCAGTGTCCTCTGAGGAGAGAGAAAGGGGCACCAGGCTGGTTGGGGGCTGGCTGGGGGCTGGTTTGGGGTTTAGCAACCCAAATCTGCTCGGGCACTGCTCCTGCTGGGTGCTGACACCCAGCCCCAGGTCACATCCCGAGGCACCTCCCAGCCAGGGCTCGATCCAACCCAACAGACCCTGCTCAAAAGTCTGTCCCCAGCTCTCTGAGAGACCCCTCGAAGCACTGAAAGGCCACCAGAAGGTCTCCCTGGAGCCTTCTCCTCTCCAGGGTGAGCACACAGGCACCCTGGAGGACCGTGGCAGGGGGGAAGGAGGCAGAGGCGCCCCGTGCCCTCCCCAGGGGATCTGGGTGGCCTGCACTGGGGCTGGCTGGGTGGGGGGCAGTCCCAGCCCCATCTCCTTGGGGCTCTCTTGGTACCTCTCCCCACCGGGGCCGGGAGGATGAAGAGGGAGGATGAGGAAGGGGCTTCACCTCAAGAATGAGTGGTGGCATCCGCTGTTCCATCCGCA